AAAGGTTTTTGGTGTTAGGGTTATCAAAAAAGCTGATTTTTTTCAAATGGCTCATGCTCAGCTTGTTAAGTAGCTCGTGTTCTAATTGTTTGTCAAATGAGTTGAATAAGAACAAATTTTTTAAGGTTAAGTTATAAATGTGCCTAACACGAACAACTCATTATTCAATAATGTTAGGCTCATTTTAGCTCAAAAATAAAAAAAAGATTATACATATTATTTATAAAATAATATATTATATAATTTATAAAATAATATTTTATATAAATTTATTTCTAAGTTTAAATCACAACAATTTGTGTGGTCATGTAGTTTTGCCCTTTTTGTTGCATAGAAATGGTGGAGGTTTGAATCTATCGCCCTACATCTATATTTCCAATTAGTTTACGCAAGTCAATTTCGAGCCAAGCAAGAACAATAACAAGAATATGTAAATCAAATCAAGCATGAACACACGATTCACAAGCAATTTCGAACATGAGCTAATTTCAAACAAAATAAATTTCAAATGAGCCGAACACAAGCTAAGACTAAACCCATTTAAGCTTAGCTTGTTTACAGCCTTACTCGATGGCCTTTTCTCACTTAAAAAAAGAAAAAAAAAATACTAATCATGGTTTAAAACAATAGGGGATAAAAACATGAAATTATATAATTATTAATCTTTAATTAGAGGTGAAGAATGTAACTTCAACTTAAAAATTACTAAATTTTTTTATTTATCCAAAATTAGAGGTGTAGATGATCTGAGCATAATTTTTTTCCCTTTTTTTTATTAAAGTTGAGATGAAATTCAAGTATTTTTCAAACCTTGCCAAGAAAAATTTAAATAGAAACCATGCCAAGAAAAAATTAATTAGAATTATTTAAGCATTTAAGTCCATTGTTGATCATATACAATGTTTTATGTTGCTCTTCAAATGTGGTAAACTAGAATAAATAATTTTTTTTAAAAAAAAATTTCATTGATAATAACAAGCAAAAATTAATTAAATTAAATTAAATTAAATTAAATTAAATTAAAATCAAGGCAAAAAGTTCTACCAACTTCCTACTCCCACCTAATTTACCCTTTACCTACAATTGAATTAAAACCATGGAAATAAACTTCTTTTACCAAAATTAAACTCATCAATAAATTAAGCTCTTGAATAAAAAAGATAATTTTACACATATTACACAATTCTTACATATATTACATATCCAACTCCCAAAGCTTACACTTATAACACTTTGGTGTCATAAATCTATACATAAAAAATTATATTTCATTTTTTTTTTTGTAAATAATGATAGTGATACTTTTCTTACACATTAAAAATTCAAATATAAGTATGAAGCTTATGTGCTAGATACATAAATGCATAGAAATTACACCCACCCCGCCCAAACTTTAATATTTACACTTATACCGCCTCGATATCAAAAACATCTGCATGAAAATACACATTTCATGAAAATTTATATTTTAATTTTTAAAATATAAAATAAAAATGAAAAATATTACACTGAAATAAAAATTTTATTGAGGCCCAATAATGAGACAAAATGAACTGGCTTCAATTAGTAAATTACTTAATTGTCATAAGGTACCGAACTTCCATATCTGTATTATAAATATACTTTTTGCACTCCACATTGATTAATGAACAATTATATGGTAATGACCTCGTCGTATGGGGAAAGCAGCACCCCTCCTCCCTTTATCAGGCTAAAACCAGTAGAGAGATAAGAGGAGGAAGAAGAAGAGATAGAGAGAGAAAGGGGGAAGAGAGAGAAGATGGGGAGGGGGAAGATAGAGATAAGGAGGATTGACAACATAACAAATAGGCAGGTGACGTTCTCCAAGAGGAGGAATGGGCTGCTGAAGAAGGCAAGAGAGCTGGCTGTGCTTTGTGATGCAGAGATTGGGCTAATCATCTTTTCCAGCACAGGAAAGCTTTATGATTTCACCAGCTCCAGGTTTCTCTCTCTATCTCTTTCTCTCTCTCTCTCTACTTCACCGAAATAGAGGTTAATTATCTTCTTAATCATAATTAATCTCTTTTTAATCATGATTTGAAAGCTTAAGTACTGCTATAATGCTTTGATTAATATTAATTGTTGGTTTTAACTAAGTAGTTTTGTGTTTATAAGTTGTTTTGTATGTCAGATCTGAAGTGGGATTAAGCTAATTAGGAGGTAATTAAGGGATGATTACGTTCTTAAGATTGATAAAAAGGGGGAAGAATTAACATTATCTAGCCGGTTTTTTAGGTTAAATGATTACATGATAATGAATGACATATAGTTAGCCAACAAAGATTAGTGGTCTTATCCAATTTGATGTTGGATTTATTCATTTCTATTTTTCATTTATGTTTTTAAATGTCACTCAATTCCTATGTATTTACATGTCTAATACATATATATATATATATATATATATATATATTAATTTCTATCTATGTCATTTTGTTTTGCTTCTTCAGCTTCGCAATCATTTAATCAAAATTTTTTATATTCATTTTATTGATGCATTTTGTATAGATTATTATAAATGCATAAATCATACACACAAACTTATCTTTTGTGTATATGTTTTCTTCTGATTTCTGAACAATTAGAAGCTAACAACAAAAATGAGAAGAGATTATGAAGAATAGGAAGAGTAAGTAGTCCAAGGGAAAATGAAGACTCTCTGACACTAAAAAAAATGATATGTTGCATTATAAATTAATGATGAAAATATGCCTAATTATGGATGAATATTACTATGCATGATCTACACAATTTTAAAATATTCATAATTGAAATATTTATATAAACTCTAGCTATTAAAACCATTCAACAAATTGCCTTTTATATTTAGCTTTTGGAATTTATCCAAACACGACATTTTTGAAAATAATAGAGTGATTAATTACTTTCAACATCAATAGATTTCTAATATATTCATCTTTTAATCTACTGTGTTTAAACCCTGACAAGTACGACATTCTTTGAGTTAAGTGAGTTCTTTCATAAACCAAGTTAGTGCCTTTTTTGAGAAAGGTGAGTGATCTCTTGGGTGTGTGCTCTTTGGAGTGGTCGCTTTGAGTTGGGTGAGTTATTTCCTGGCTAGGCAAATTATTCCTTTAAGCCAAGTGAGTTCCTTTTTAGGTTTAACATGTGGTTTTTTCAATTGGGCAAGTTATTTTGTGGGCCAATTAGGTGTTCATTTGAATTGGTCAAGTTCCTTTCTGTCATAATCCAAAAATAATACTCCCATTTAATACTTCAAAATCAATATTAATGTGACTTCTCAGTATGCTAGTGATCATGAATATCTATAAACATAGATTGGTTCTTCACCTCATAGTAGCTTCTTTCTTCATGCCTTGTTTGTTTGCAAGATATTTTATTGCTCGTGAGCAATAGTTGAGTCACCATAACTGAAGATTATGAATACCACCAATTATTAGTTGCACTGAAGTGCTATGCACAAACACCTCCATGCATATATAAGATGTCAAGTAGTGGTCAACTCACTGTATTAAAAAAAAAAAGGACAAGGAGATATGTTAAAGGTGACCTGAGTAGGGCAGTGACAAATCTTGAAGTTGATTTTAATAAGTACCACTTGGAATAATATTCCTTGATAACCCTTTATTGATTGCTCCAACGATAATTTGGGATGTTTGTCTCTAATGGCCACGACTTAGAAAACCTTATTTTACCAAAAATAGATAAAAGAAGATTATGCGAGCAAATTAAAAAATTTTTTGTAAGAAATTAACTTCATTTATTTACATATTTATTTTTTTGGATGAAATGATTTGATACCATAGACAATTTGATGGGGAGACTAGTAGCGATGATTTAACATAGAAAGTAAGACTATTCAATTTCTGTTACATAAAAGGGTTACTTTGACAAGTCCTATAATGATCATTTTAAGTAGGCATATGTTGCATCTAAATTTAATTCAAGTTTTAATTCAACTACCAAAATTAAAGATTACAAATTTCATAGGTTTTGTCTTTAACTTTGCCTTGGGATATATGGCAACAACTTGTTGAGGTTTCCTTTGATAAAATTTTGGTTAGAGAATTTTATTTTCCTTTTATTTCAATTAAAATAATAGGGATGGATTTAGTGAGGTAGCCTAAGGGAAATGAAGGCTATCAACTTGTTAAAATTATTGTGGAGACCATCTTAATGTTTGGGCTAAATGCATGTGTGGAAGCCGAGTTACTTTAACCTACTCAACCTCAAAAGTAAGTTTAGAAAACTCATGATGCTTCTTCTTGAATGATACCTAGATCTCATGGATCTTTGCCACCTTTTTTTTCTAGAGAGTTTGACTATCAAATTTGTTAAGCTAAAGGCATCATTGGTCTTTATGATAAAATACACACACATTCCTATGGAATGATCAGTGACGCTAGTGTAAGCATTAAAGAAGGAAAAGAGAAACATCCCCTCCTACAAGAATAGATGGGATCCTCCGCCTCTGAGTTCATCGCCTCTATTTTTTGAAAAGTCTAAGATTTAAAGGGAAAATCCATGGCCACTAGCAAGTTTACGAAGTCTTCAAAATCTAGTCAATTTATTGTTGGAGGAGCATTCATTTTGCCACCTTTTGTCAAAATAGAGACGTCAACATTGATGTGTATTATATCAAATTATTAAGTTTCTTCTTTACATTGATCACTATAGGTGGATTCACCTTTATGTAAATGTAATCTTGATTTATAATTCTATCATCCCACTTCTTATATGAATATTTTATTTCAGACTAGCTATATTAACTGTCATGTAATTTGTATAGTTATTGACTCAATTTTTTTAATTATTCTCCTTTTGTTCACACTCATTAATTTTTCCATTCAAATAATATCAGTTAAAATAAATCATTTATGGTGGATGTGATATTTTCTTGAAAAACTATATAATCTTTCTCTATAAATATCCTCCTCAATATTTAATGATTTATTATTCTTTTCATTTTCACCTCATGACTTTTTTCACTTGCACTTATAACACACTTTGAGTCATGGAAGCTTCCTAGAAGAAACGTTTCAAAGCATTCTAAAAGGGCAAGTAGACATAAACTAAGATTTTCATATGGTTGTTAGTAGAATGAGTCCACTATCAACGCCAAAAATTTTAAGGTGTGGTACCCAAAAAGGCTCAAGTTCACAAAGTCCTCCGAAAATAAGTTGAGCTTTCACTTGGAAATTCAAATTTGACCTATAACTACCATTATGCTAAGAAGTTGCCAACGAATTGAACTTATGGACTTTTCGCTTCTCAAATCATGCCAAATTTATTTAGAATATTCCATGATTTCTTGTATGAGGAATTAAGAATATCATTTTGAACATCAATTTCTTCAAACATCTCCTAATGATGAGGGCCTTCAAATTCAATTGCATTCAATTCTTCGTGTTTTATATTTGAATTTTAATATTAGAGCACAAGGATGGTGAGTGGAATGGGAAGTATGTGCTTACAATATCAATGAATGGTTGGATAGTTCTAATAATTCCTATCCTTTCACTACAAAACTTATGCTCTTTTTGGTAGCCTATAGTTGTAAGAAATATTGATTTAGCCATAAGTTATTAAATTTTATGATAGCTTTCTGATGGGCACTTAGTTGTTGCATTTCTCTTGGCAGAAAGACAATTTATGATAGTTTTCTAATGGGCAATTTTTTTGACAATTTTTTTACTGGCATCTACCCATTGATATATAGTCTAACGGCGATGTACCTGTCAGTTCATACCTATCAATAAACTAATGGAGAGTTATTGGTTGGCCATCAATTTAAGACTCAACGAGCTATTGCTCATTGGTATAAGGATATTGATAGTCCGCTGTAAGGCCATCAATTGGCTATTAAACAATTAGCTAAAAAAAACTTCTTTATTTTATTAGAATTTATGCACGTACAATTGTATCCCAAAAACACATGAAATTTACATCACCCAAATCTAATTTACTTATCCATACAAGCAATCACAAATTAAAAATAAATGCAATCATAATGTATTAAATAGCTAAAATTGAAATAATTAGTACATAACTAATACATAACAAGTACATAAATGTCTTAGAAAAATAAATGAAATGCTAACTTAAAAAATTCATCATCAATCTCCTCATCTTCCTCCTCCTCCTCATCCAAATCCAATGGCTACTACTCTCTCTAACGTGCCTCACGTCACACCTCCTCCGATTCCATCTTCATTCTAACCTCGATCTGAGTGAATTGAGTTGAAATTCGAGCCTCCATATCTTTAGTGAAAGATGAGACCTATCTGCAAAGTTCATTGCATTGCATAGATGTAGAGCTATGCGCAAAAATTGAATGGTGTAAATCATTAGCATGTCCTTGTGAGCTCAAGCCATAAACCCTTCCTTCTTTCTTGCCCTCATTGAATTCTTTCCAAAATTCATTATTCAACAAATCAAAATCATTACCAGGGACACGAACTCCTTCTAAGCCTCCTTCAGTCCTTTGTACTCCTACAAAAATATAACAAAGGTAAAGGTAAAATTAAATTTCAAAATATTTGTAATGATATAAATGTTACTTTTTCACTACATGTGTTATATGTGATCTATACCCATCGGTGGTCTGACTGATGTTGATGTGCACAAGCTATAGCACGATGGTGATGGGCTCTCTTCCAAGCTACAATGTCTATTAAGAAGAGAAATTTTTTGTTAAATAATTAATATCCACTTAAATTCAATACATAAAATAACTCTTATCATTCTCCTTCTATACTGAGTATGTGGGTTTTCTCCTCTAATGTGTTTGGAAGTGACCATACCCCCAAAATTCAAATGTCAGTTTTATTTTGCCTTTTGGCTTTTCTTGATATAACCACGTTGTTTGTAGATGTCCTTCTATAGAAGGCACAAAATAGTGTTAACACAACTTGTGTATCTCTATGAAAATTTCACACAAACAGGAGACCTCTAGACTT